ATATATAAAAGTGTAAGCGAATACGTCTCTATACGTCGTAAAAATGTCCCGTGGTTCTTCATTTTGCTACAAGCTCTCCCTTGGGTTCGTTGCACTCAGACAGACAAATACCACCTTTCATTTCCCATCATTCGAGTCAATTTCACTATTTAGTATGACCATTTCAGCTCGAGCAAATTGCTTTACGACCTTGATCTCTTCTATCATCTCAATTGATTTTCGTACCGTAATTTTATAGTATAAATTCATCTTTGTAGAAAAGCTTTCTTAACCGAAAACGAAACATTATCCACACCTCGTGGATACTTGATAGATATATAGCATAGTAATCAAATTGGAACGATACCAGTTTGTGCAGCTTAATGTACAGATCGTACGTTTGTCCACACGACGCGGCGAACCATCGGCCAAAACATCGGTAAACAATGCATCGATGCAGAATAATGTCGCGTATCAAAGGGCGCTACACGTTTTCATTGCTAAGAATGCTCCTGATTATTAGAACGACGCTTACTGTGTAGCGTTGACGTCTATTGGCTGTCGTATAACTGTCGACAAGTTTCGACACGTTTGCGTCTATAGTTACAGAGGTAACGAAATTTTACTTACTTTATCTGAAAGATCGTACTCACAAGATGCGGACGGTCGGAGCCAAATTTAATAACTTCATTGCCATATCGCCTATTGGTAACTGTTTCAGTGCCAAAGGGAACGATCGTTCGCTTAGGGGACAGGTGTCTTCAAATTCGCCAAATGTGACCCTTGCAGATTTTCTGACCAGCTGTGCTCGTTACTTACTGGTCTTAGTGTCGTTGTTATTATTATTGTTGTTGTACGTACTGTGATCAGACGGAACGCTTTAGGACACTGTCAATTGAGTTAGGGCACTGAAATGACCAATGTGCCAAAGTCAACTGGAGGGGCAAAGCGAACATTTTCTTTATGATAGTTTTTCGATGTCATAAATTGTAAGACTGAAAATGACTTTTTGAGCGCTGCATAGCCAATGTTTTTCCACTTCTCTATGCAGTTGCAGAAAAAGTGCCCGCTGTATCGTGCAGAAAAAAAAGTACGACATAAAAACACAACGCGGCAGTATGCAAGCTATAGTTTCGTATCGAATAGCTACTAATTATCAAAACAACACAGAAATATATTATAGGAAACCTGTATACGGCAAGTTCCTTGAGCAATCCGAAAGCTATAAACGACACAACATTGAATCAAACATGATTCTGTGTTTAGTTTTTGAAGGTTCTTGTGTTTCTGCCTAGTGATAGGCGTAATTGGAGCCAACGAAATTCTTCTTTACGCCGATAATATGGTAATACTCATATATATCGACAGTTGCCCATAAGACAAGCTGCGTTTGTGCGGCGAACGTTAGCTCTAGGTTGTCTCACTCGTGCTTCTAATTATGACCCCATTTGTTTAACATATATGGACTATTAACATTGAGTCACTGGCACATGTGATCGTGTCATCGAGATATTCATGTCCGTACTGCATAGAAGAACGCAATAGCAATAAACTGACGATGTACGCGAATCCGCGATTCCGTCCGTACTTATTCTCACCCAAACTCACCCAGTCTCAATTGAAGTGGTAATTGTATAGAGCAATGATTTGGCCACCTAACTAAATTAATTGAGAGAAATCTTTCCGCGCCTAAATGGTAGAATTGTTTCAGATGCGGACCAGCTATAGGGTCCCTTCATATAGGTGGCAAGTTCCGCAACTGTCCTGGAATTTGCGAAAGTTACAAACCTTGAGTTAAATGAGCTAGATCTAAATTTTACTACTTAAATAAATAAATCTACTTAGCTTAGACGTAAGGTATACCCTAACTAACGCCTTACAATCTGACCAAAGTTAACACTAGATACCATTGTGTTTCACCTGTAAATATTTTATCTGACCCAACAAAACGTTAGATATAACAAGATAGTGGAAATGTAAAAAAGTTTATCGGACCTACCAAGAGATAAACTAAAATGAAAATAGAATTTCACTCTACCTAATCAAGCTTTCTGGTAAATAGAATAGTGCGCTGAATATTTTTATTTTATAATCATTATTAGTTCTATAGATTTTATCAGTTTGTCTATATATGATTCATATGTCTTTACCACATCTTGTCCTGCTCAACAACGCGTTATGTTTATCACATTTTATGTTTTCTTTGTTAAAAATGGCCTAAAAACGGGGATCTAGTTACTGCTAGTATACCGTACCAGAGCAGTGAACGCAGATTTGGATTGTCATAAGAAACTATGAGCTTGGAATCGTTGTCAGCTTGAACTATCATAGTCGTGTAATTATGACTAGAATACGACAAATAGGCTTAGTTCCTTCAGGCCATCGATAGAACATTGGAACAGTAAAATGTACCGTGTACTTGTTTGGCCGAAACATGACAATTACCGCCAACCTTCCCGCGGTACAAGTCTCTCTATTGTTAATAAAAGTCAAGTTCCGAGTAAAATGAACGTAATATCCATTGAAGAGGAGGCCATGCGTTCGTAATAAAATAATCACAAATAAGTGTATTAGCGTAAACTATAGCGAAATGGCCCTAAAACACTACACAAACAGACGGGTGCAAGGCTAGTTGGCCGATATAAAAGCACGTGTTGGATTCCTAACAGACTAAATACGAGCCCGCTGTATAAACGTGTATCAAGCAATATTAATAAAAAAAAAAATCTGACCAATTTCGTCGTATTAACGGAGGCAATTTTATTGACGCTGTTTAGAGGATATCCAGAAACATGGTTGGGCAGATTTGGAACTCCGCGCAGTTTAGGCCTCGAATTAAGGCCTCAGTTGCACTAAATTGGACATTTACATTGAATACGCACATTCGGCCAAAAGGTACCTCTCAAACAACCGTTACACAATGTACGCACAGCGGAGAACATGTCATTAACCCATAGCCTGCCTAGCCCAGGCCACAGCAACAACTAGAGACAAAAGGCCAACCCGTTATCCCTGTAAAGATTATAGAAAATACGTGATCAGTTTTTAAATACGCTATTTGCTTTTTTATATAGAGGTCGAACACGTAGACATGCATACAGAACAGAACGCAGAGCACCTTAAATAACTGAACGTTTATTTTCTAAAGGCCATAACGATGTAGTAATATTCCGCTATTATAACTACATGTATTTACATTTTAGGAATAACAATGCAATATAAACCTAATTATGCCTATATTTTACTGCTGCACATCTGTGTTTTAGACGACACTGAATAAGATTGATTCGAACGTCATCTCGCAACGGGCCCTCGACGTAAATACGATTTTTTCGAAGAAATGTCCCCGACGAATTCTGGATACCTTCACTGGCGGCTTACACTGCTTTTCGCGGAATAATTTGATTCCGGAAAATTGTACCTTTGCTTTCAAGTCAAGTTCCTAATTTACATAAACTGTCGCTGAATTATATGTCAACGAGCTGAACCTGCGTTAGATAATTGAACGTAACCACCTGTAAGAAGGACAAAATGTAATAGGATTTGTTAGATGACAATCAATTTTATTCTCGTCGCGAAGTATTTCCGAAGGTACAGTGATTGCGCTTATTGCGAATAAGTTGGAACAAACAGGCTAAATGATCAAGGAGCTGTTTTTCTTTTTTAAGGAAACGAACCTTCACTCATTTAAGTAAACGTACAATATTTGAACGTCATAGTCTACTAAGGCTCGTCCGGTCAACGCTAATCATCAACGGTAAAATACCCGGCCTTCTATAAACTGCGGAAAAAACCAATAGTACGTTTCGGCTTGGTCTTCTGCTACGGAAGCGTTCAAAATGTAGAACTCTGAATAGATAGCTAATCAACGAGTTCATTAAAATTCCTCATTTTTATTGAATGAGACAGGCTGTATTAGCTCAACCACAAGCGTTCTAAACTGATACGTTGGATCAAAGAAAATGTATTTTAACGAGATGCTCAGCCGTAGAATATTTACTGTAATAATTATATTTAAAACGGCCTTTAACCATTTTACATCATATCTCCGGTGATGTGCATCGTGAAGCGTTGGATATTTTCCTCAGCAGATACTGAAGATGTTCTTCATTAATTATAACGTAGCGCGTGCGACTGTCGAACGCACAGGTTATTAATATCGGAATACATTGTGTGTGTGTGTGTGTGTGTGTGTGTGTGTCTTTTTTTTCAAGGTTTGACTAATCCATTACGTAAACACGAATACGACGGTTGTGTAAGGTAGGCCGGGTGTAGAGCTGGGTTTCGAAGATTGGATTTGTTCCTAGCGATTCACTAATTTACGACAACGCATAATACCATACTGACCAGACAGCTCTCACGGATAGTTGAAATCGTATATTTTTGAGACACTCCATTTGTTAGGGAATTCAGTGTTTCAAAACTGGGTTAACTGTGGGATCTGAATGGTGACATGAAGCACGCTGCAAGTATGGCACGAAAGGGGGCGAACAACAGTCAAAGCCACTTGCATATATAAATAAACTGTTACTATACGTAGCCATACTTCCTTCGTATAAAGCCGTACAAACACATATCTACGCGTGAAATGTGTCTCATGAAAATGCCCGGAAATTTACTAGTGTTCGACGGAAACTGCAATAGCATCCGTCCTTTTGTACATAAATTGCAATAACGTGCAATATCTTTACGGCATAACGGATCGTAACCGAAGTCAGTCATTATCGAGAGAGTAGTCGTACTGACCTTTTTTGTCACGGCCGGTGGAGAGTTTCGGGGTTGTGATGCATCCGAATCGCTGCCAGAATCAGGACCCGAACCTGATGACAACGAGCCCCCACCACTCCCGCCAACGGACCCAGAACTATTCATTGACGCGCCCGCTACTGTTGGCGTGGCTATCGTCGTCTTGATAACTGGCCGCAACAGCAATTGACCCCCTGTCGCCGAAATCCCGCCTTGCGCGCTTGCCTGACCCTGTGCGGTAGCGACGGAAACCGTCGCTAGTGGCCCCAACGCTGCCGAGGCAAGTGCCCCTGGTCGAACTCCGCCGGACGCCACCAACGATTTGGTCTTTGCTAATGCTAACGTCGTTTGCTGTTGTTGCTGCTGCTGCTGCTGCTGCTGCTGTTGCTGTAAGTGGTGGATCCGATGTATTGGTTTTGTTGTTCGGTCAGCGAGAATGAACAGACGATAGGAAACGAGCCGAATTTCGAACGAACGAGGGAAAAGCGGATGAAATAATGAAGGTGAAGAATGGCCAAATAAAATAGAAGAAGTTGGATATTAGTAGTGGAATGAATGGGTTGTACGGATACGTCTTCGCTGTTTACATTTTACTTTTTACTCGACATTGATGAGAAGCTACGTATGAAAAAATTTCCTATGTAGATATCTATTTACCTGCAGACTGAGGTTCATATGAGTAGCCATTGGTATATGATTATTACACACTTCAAATAATAAAGCTGTGTATATAGCGAAGTCTGACAATATATGCATTTATTTTTCAACGCATGCCAGTTGTTTGATCTACTAATACTTGATACTGTATCTCACTCGTCGAATGGGGGATCGCTGTTCAAATGCCGTCCTATACGTGGGCCATTTTATTGGAAGACTGGTTTCTTAAGGACTCCTCTTTGGGTTGTTTATATATTGGTTGGCTCGTCTAAGTACGAACCCCTGCAGGAATCTAGTAGATTACTTTCACTAACGTAAAAGCTTCACCACAGGTCTTATATGAGTCTGCACAAGGCAGTGAAGGATGTACCTGAGTATAGCCTCGAGGTCCTTGAGCCTTAGCGACGCCCGACCGGCATCCAGGAGGCTGAAGCCAATACGGAAGTGATAATGGAGCTGCAGATGTGCACAGAAGACTCTCGATAGGTGGTGGAACCATGGCTCCGGGCGGGAGCAAAAGGATGGAGTGTCGGTATATCTGTGGGGGAGCGAGTACTACCGGTGCTAAATGGCCGCGCCGAGGAACGTTTCCCCGGCATCCAGCCGCTGGAACACTTGAAGAACGCCTGTGTTCTGTGAAACATAAATAATAATGAGTATCTATAAATAAACGAGACACCGTGAATTGAGCGGGCAAGTGATTGTGAAGAAGCTGGATAATGATTTAATAGTATTTAATAAATAATCTTCCTTTTCAAGTACTGGACTGTTTCATTCGAAGTTTCACTGCTCACAATTTCATAATTAACAATTATTTTATAGTAGATTAGAGCTAACACGCTAATTATTTGAATATCGAGGCCGGGACTCTGAAAGCTTCTCCCTGACTACATACTTACAGTTTGTATCGCCATTTAAGTTCGTGGTTTATTGAAATTAAGTCAATCTGATAAGGTCTCCCACTGCCATCAAATACCCACCATTCTCATGCCGTTTGTCCATGAATCTTTTCAATAAATTTCAAAAATTTTTCAAAAAGATTTTACATATAAAAAATCGATTTTCGTATTTTCGCTTAATATTTTATAGAAAAAAAACACGCAATTTGAAATGTGTAGCAGCCACCATGACTTCAGAGGTAAGATTCATCAACCAATAGCATTAAATGGGAAGTTTCACTTTGTGGAAATGTTTTAACTAAGTATTCTTCAGGGGGTCTGCATAGATTGACCCATGTGCGCTGATAAGCAACAGGACATATCCGACAAGATTCGTAACGATTGCAACTTCATCAGTCAGGCGTAGAATTAATCATGGGCGTTTCCATCACACAAGATCGTGCGTACCGAAATTTCAATCACAGTAGTCACAGATAACATAAGACCTTCAGGTAATAGTTATATAAGTCCTACTAGGTATAGGGTACTAGGAAAACTAGCTTTAGAGGGAGAGGGGAGACTAGGGCCTAGAAAACCCAAGGCCAAGGCTCAATTTCTGCCAAAAATCTAGATCAATTCTTCAATTGTACAACTTAATGTGGTCCCTTTCTTTAGACAATAAAGTCTACTATGCACTTCCCTATGACATAAAAACTTAATAGTCTTACCAATTGTCAACGACTTGAAGCTTTATAACTTACCTTCCAAAAACTTCAAAGCTTGACAATCAGTCGTTGATTTGGGGGCACTAAATAAGTTTGTTGCCACAAAACCCATGTCACAGACTTAGCTAAAGTATAGGTTGCGCTCATTGCGGATCCGATCGTTCTGCACCGAACAGAATATCTTTGAGTACCTTACCTACTACTACACGTCATATCGAATTTAAGTAATTGAATTATGCATCATTTAAAGCGCTCCCTTTTAAGAAAAATGTTAACGAAGCGATTGCTTCGTAGATTTCTTTGGGAAATAAACCATGCATTTTATATTGGGAATCCTCACATTTATTTTTTATCAATGAGCCTAAGGTTAATGCAGGTTCCTCACGTCTTTCGCTGTTGTTACTAGTCAGAGCTTGCTTTCAGGGAAAGCTACAAACAATACAACGCACTATTTGGTTTTTATGAATATCGACACTATATAGATATATATAACGCTGAGATCAGTAACGAAGTGGTTTTGTCCTCGTTATGGTACTACACGCTCTCCCTCTTTTGCCATTTTCACCAAAGAGGCACGACACCCTGTGCTGCCATTTTGAATTTTGCACCTACTTCCGCGCCCTCTATGTTTTCTAGCAACCAAATCGACTGTCATTTATATATGTTAACTCACTCAGCCCATCCATTTATTTATGTACTTATAATCACTTATTTTTCGCTGCACGACGATAACGAAGATCGCTTTTATCAACCAGTGTCCATTCAATCCAATAGCTACTATGAACGATCTCAAAAATGCCAATATAATGCTGTTACGTGGTCCTACAATGGAATACATGAATGTAAAAATAATAACCCGCGTTTCATTGTCACCTCATAACGCCTACCTATTTTCCCCTATATTGTCGAAGAAGTGCTAAGCTTTACTAGGCCTCTCTATCATTTAGGGTCAATATTGGAAGCTGTGCTGGTTTTGATCGTATCGAAATCGTATCCCTGTAGTGTTTCTCTATATAAACCTTGCTTGCCTGATCATTTGTTCTCTTCCTCGCTCACGTCGTCGACCGCAAACGTTGTCACCGATAGTGAGGCACCACTAGCGCCCCTAACCCATCTGGCTCTTACTGTCGAATGACGTCGAGCGTCGCGAAACGTGTGAATGCTGCAACCCCTTCTCAAAACAACCGAACTGGCTAGCAAACCCGACCAGCGGCTTATACTTGAGTAGTCGACCCTCTGACGCTAATTGACTTGACTTCATTTTCGCTATTTTTGCATGCCATAGACACACAGACAATAAAATGAAAATATGGATACGCGGATGCTGCTGCTACTGGTGTTGCTAGCGGCTATGACGCTGAAGACGTTTACCTTATAAATACAAAATGACAACGATGCTGAACACGACCCACCAGGGCAATAACAACAACGTCCACAGCAGCAGCAACAACGATCTGTGTGTGTATTCGACTCTGTGTGGTTTGGCGCAATTGGTGAACGGTGAAAACGGGAGTGTAGCTAAAGTGATCAGGGGGTCGATTCCTTGTTGGTCGGCCTTTGCTATAGGACACAGCAATTTCGTCTTTATACAACGTCGAAGACGGCGCCGCCGCCGCCGCCGCCGCTTTGGAAGCACACGCATCAGCAAAAGTGCTACTAGGCCATAGTCGAGATATTGAATTGCTGTGCTTCTTTTTTCCTTCACGAAGTGCTTGTGACTAACGACGCCGCCGCTATTGCACTTCAGGGCCACCTGCACAACGCACCACTGCGAACTTTCACGTATGACTGGCTTGGTTGTTTGTTAGCTGCATATACGAGTTGATTTTGTGGTCGGCTTTTTCAAAGGGACGGGGGATACTTGGGTTGGAAGGAAAGTCACATTCTTCCCGTTGGCTTCCAGTGATTTTTCACTTTCTCGCTGTCTTTCATCGTTCCCCCTAAATAAATAGCCCAAATGGCGGCGGTAACGACGAAGACTGAAATGATCCCAGGAACGGGAAACAGAAGCAAGGTAAAGAAGGTACGGGCACATACAGTATTTAAGATTTTCTTCGCTATCCGTCCAAACGGTTGTGGTCTTCTATCTAGCTATATATCTAGATAAAATAGAATGAGATGCTTTAGCCGGGAAATGCAGCCGGCGACGCTATCAGTTGGCGACGTTCCGTACCGTCAATAATAGATAATTCGATAGATTATCTACCTATCTACAACAGTTATTGTGCTACCGCGTTGGATTTGTGTGGAAGCGTATGTCCCCTAGGGAAGACGAAATCTAAAAAACAGAACACGCAAAAGCAGTGCTATACCATTAGTAGCAAAATCACCATTATGAGCCAAGTTTTTCCTCAGAGCTCGGAGTTCTGCTACGACAGGGGTGCTACGTCCGATGCTAAAAATTATCATTACATTCAGTTTTGCTTTGTAAAAACTGATAGAAGACTTGAGTAGATCATACTCATACATCATCATCTGAATGGATCTGTAGGAGATCACTGAAATTCGGTAATGGTGTTTACTATTCTCTTGTTGGTACATTTCAAAAGCCTAGTAAATTTCACACGCATTAAACTTGAGTAAAATCGGTTATATCGTATTCGAACGATTTTTATTGACATCGGGAAAACTGTATTTGTTTGTAGGAGGTACTAAATAAATCGGTTTTTAATTGAAAATAGAACGCTGAGCCGTAATTGTATGAGTTGAACAAGAAATCTAGCTTGTATTAATGCTTGATTATTTAAATGGGTTCATCATTTCGCCCAATAACCTTCAGCTGTAGAACTGAAAAAAAGGAATAAGGAACCTAAGTCGTTTAACCGATAGTTCACTTACTTGTTTGATTTTCATTACTCGGTGCCCATTATCGGTTAGTTGTCTATTAAACTTCGTAGGACATCTTGATTGAGTAATATATTTAACTTAAATCTCATCCGCCCTGTGCGCAGTAGTTTTATCGGTGCACGCTTAACATTATCGTGTATATACGTAATGGGCCATTAAAATAATAAATTACGAAAAAATACCCGTATGAGTTCTTGTCGAGGCAGATAACAAAATAGGAAAAGAAAAAATTAGGCAAAAATTTGCCGAGTAGCCAATTTATAGTATAACATGACATCAAATATAGCCAATGTGGTACGTCTATTGCTCCTATAGGAGATAAAGAACTGCGAGCTGGGTCGAGTTATAAGCCCGATCAATTTTCGATTCCGAATAAAAAAAATAGACGGACTAAAGACTTCGCACATATTGTTCCCACCCATCATCGCTTAAATGACCACTACGACAGTTATTGCATGCGATACAAAAGGCGCCTCAAGAAGACCTTCCCTGTCCGTAATCGTTTAGTGAGCGAATAGATTATTTTCAATAAAAAAAAAAAAGCCCTGCTCCAGGCTGGCACTTACATAAGTTTTATTACCACTACCGTAATGGATTACGTAAATTGCATAGCACGATCCAGGCAGACACCAGTCATGTGTATATTTGTCTTTTTGCTTCAAGTTACGAACGCATGCAGGATTTATCTTCAAGTACGACAACGGCTACGCTATATTCCGCCATTGTTTCAGCGATTTTCTCATTGATAGCTATACCATGTGTTCTACTGGGCATTAGCCACGGTGATCCGTGTACCGAAATGAGCTCTCGCAGGTGATTAGATTCATAATATTACCTTAGAAAATGTTTGTGGAATGTATTCAATCGAACATTCACAAGGTTTACGTCTTCTTCATAGGAAAAAAAAATCAGCAAATGGCAAAAGTTCGATTTGAAAAACGCTGGACTCTTCGTCTCTAAATATCTTCGTATGAAACACCCCCGGTGCCAGATATTGACGCTGAGAAAAAGTGAAAATTTTGTTGACTCACGCCTCGACCTGCTAGCGTTCGGTGGAACTTGGACGACGATGGATCCGCGCAATAACTTTTAATCATTAACTTTTTTTTTTTAGCTACGTAAAATACGTAGGAAAAAACTCACACTTGTAAATTACACAGGTCAGTAGCGCCGGTCAGTATCCAAGTACAAAATATACAAACCTGAAAATTTGGCGAACAGTTTTTAATTTAGGAAGCTGTTCGATCCGCTCGTGGCCTTCACCCGGGAGACTAGTTAGTGCACGATGTACACGTATTTCCGCCGTTCGTTTTCTGATAAGATCCGTCATCGTTGCTTAGGATGGTTTGATCTGCTTCAATATTAACGATTCTGAATATTCCTGAGTTCATAAAGGTGTCAAGTATGGAGTGCCTCGCAATCTTAATGACGAACGACCAACTGATCTACAGCGTAGACATGCCTTCCATTCACGGCAGCTAGTACTCAATAGAATTCAATGGACAACAAGAGGACTGTAAATACCCAGTTATGTGTATCAACTGAATACAACAATAATTAGATGTTCGATGCCGGAACAACGTTGAAATAACATTTCCGTTGTTTAAAACTATTCCCTGTTACGCAAAGCGCGCTTGAAGAAACGTTCAAGTTTTCCTTCGTCCAAGTTTCCTGCTTCGGCCGAAGTGGTGTTTTGTCCAACCGAGTGATTGAACGACATCTTGCCCTTTGTAAAACTCTCAAGCTGAGCACTATCGGAGACAAATACACGTGTACCCTCGTCCAACAGTGAAATCATTCTCACTTTGGCACAAATAAGATACGCTATAGCTAGAATACACGTGGCCTAAAATCGAGCTATCCGACCTCGTTCCTATGAAGAACAAAGTATAGTGTTAATTGCTTTTACGCTCTAGGACCTCACTAGCAGACTTGCGCTGCATTGTTGGGCTGAGTTTGGCAAGTATCGTTGTCCCACTATGGTAGTAGCGTGTATTGAAACGGGTTTTTTTTTTGCTTGGAAATCCTCCACATTTGCAAACTTTCGAATGCTTATATCCCCGATGCCGGCGGACATTTGCAAACAGTAACTCCGTAATTAGTAGTTATATATAACTAAAAATGAGGGCAAAATTATGATGGCTCTTATGAGCGAACAGCAGTGTCCCTGTTCGCTTGGACATCACCTTCTAACGTGTTTTCATTGCTAATTACGATGATATGTTACTTGCACTTGTCAACGGTATCCAACGGATTTGGAAAACATACACAAGTTGAAATATACCGAGAAATTGATTCGAATCCGCTGCACGAAAGTACCACACACATTACACTAAATAGATATGCAGTAAACAGCAAAAACAGGTTTTTTGCCGGCAGGAAAACAAAAAAAAAAAAACAAGTGCAGCTATCGTTTGGTCATATTGTTTTTCATTTTTCTCCTTTCCATCGATAGCGCTTAGCTCCTATGGAGCTCCTTCCGAAACGAAATATCAAAGTAATTATAATTACGTCAAAGCTATTATAATCATATTGCAATAATCGTCGACACAACTGTGCATGCTTTTTTCTCATATTGAAACGGCGGTGATACTACCACTACAGATATAGAATAGCAGCGAACAGACAAAGAAGGCACCAACAGGCGGCGCCTTCTTCGTCTGTTTTTGCCTACGACGTACTCCGTAGATGGTAATCGGCTTGCTGACACCGGCTGGTGACGTGCAGCTATCCCCGTTTTCTACGCCACGTCAGCCGTTGTTGTCACTGACGTTGATTATGTTGTCGAAGCTAACCGTCAGTTACCACTCGCCCGCGATGACCATGAAATTAACGATGGGGCTTCTTGAGGTGGTAATTCGGCCCGCTATTGCTGCCACCGTTACCACCATTGCGGCCTCGATTGTATCAGTCCTCAACGTTATGTCGTACTAGGTTCAATCTGCACTACGGTCCACTATAGAATACCAGTACTGATAATAATACCCCTATAACCCCGGGGGGCTGGAAGGGGCTGGGAAATTAGACGGTGGGCAAAGCTGGGGACAAGACCAACGGCAATTCCAGACGAGCAATGGAAAAGTCGCCACGCGGATGCAAAACACACTGGGGCGCTGTAGATCGACAGCGAACACGCTGTTGTTGCCTATGTCAATCGACGTTCGCTTGACGAATCGCCGTTAGCAGTGACGGCACTAGCATTTTATTTATCGCTAATGCTTTCACCCGGAGGCATCGAGACGTTAAGTTCCCGTTCGTCATTATACAGCCTTCATCAGTCACCAGTCAACGTGCTTGTCTATGTATGAAGGTGTATGTGGGTCTGTATATTTGCGTTAGTATTTGCACGTATATTGACTCGTACGCGTGGTCGGTGGCGATGCGTGAAGCTATGAGCAGATTTTTAGAATGAGTCGGCGCTGACAGGGTCAGCGCCTATGGCTATAGCAGCTCTACAGCTGTTGTGAAATGCTGAATCCATACGGTAAATACTTTAGACTTAAACTTCATTGTCGCAGTTGTATGCAGTGATTCAATTGGCGTGCTACACATACCGATATGCAAGATGCACGTGTGTACGTACGACATAGTGGTAGTTAGTACTAATAATCATCTTTGTTCTTGGTCAATCACGATAGATTTTTGTAATCAACTGATTTCACTTTGTTTGTTTTTTTTCTTCCTACACTGCTTCGTGAGGCCGGTATGCACACTTTACATCTACGTAAAATATGACATATAATATGGTTTATGAACGAAAATGTCGTTTTGCCTGTATAGTGACCCGGCTCTAATGGCCTAATCATTTCATTCGAGCTTCCTGTTCTCCTATAATAGATTCAGGCGATTTGGAACACTCTCTAACGTAATTGTTATGAAACTGACCGTACGAACCCTAATGGCCTGAACCTTATGCCTTGATCAATATGGGTTTGCCTGTTGCTTGAGGCGCTGATATGAGCAGCTCTTGTTTGCATTCGGTCCTAGTAGTAGAGGCTACCGCTGCTTCACTTGTGATCATAAAGGCGGGAGCCCGAAACTGCTGGGTCACCACTGAGTGCCTTAGATAACGGGATTCGCCAGCCAACCGGAACCGTTCATCGCGTAAATTCCCATAAAAGGGGTCAATGAACGCCCGAGGCACTCAGACATACCTTTCGTTGTTGTTGTTGTCGT